TTTAAAGGGAGTAAATTCACTTATGATTGCTGACAGAGATGTACGGAAGATCAGTACATGATGTGCCCATATAGACAAGGGCAGATCAATGGATATAACTGATCCAAGCTCTGAGTTGCCGTCTATCGAAAACCTTATACAAAATATCTTGCCAAAGGTTTAGTTAGTTTTCGAAACCAATCAAAATGCTACTACTGGCTACGATGAAACGGACATATCCAAAGATATTTTGTCAAATATACGACCAGTAGGACAATAATAATCAATTGTCATACTGCATGAAGAAATTATGCGCTGTGCAAAAATAGATTTGCAATAGTAGCAACCTTTGTCCCAGTCGTGTCCCACGCGACCTCATTCTGTACTCCGATATAAGTCGTGAGGACGAGATTAGATTTTCTGCGCATACCGAGCCAAATACAATCGACATGACAAGATATTTGAAAGTAAGGTCAATCGATATTAAAAAACACTCAGATTCAGTAAGGATTAAAAATTACTCGAGTGCCCTGCGCTAATTCCATTGTATCACAATCGCATTTTAACCAAATTTTAGTAAAAATGTTTAATTAAGACAACATTAACAATGTAAGTCTATCTTTATCCTGCGCTTGTCTATACTAATCTACATTAATATTATAAAGAGGAATTCGCATTTTTGTATGTATTAAAATAACTCAAAAACTACTGGGCCGAATACAAAAATTCTTTCACCATTAAAAATCTACGTAACCACTGAGTAACATAGGCTATACTTTTTTACTTCTTTTTAATCTGAATAAAATTAAAATCACAATCTCATTTATAACATTGTTTTATAGTGATGTACAGACAAAGAGGTTCGAATGAAACATATTTTGACAGCACTTAGTACGATAGCTGAATGGTAAGAACTTGGTAAGACTAGTAAGTCTTGGTAAGTTGACATTAAGCTAGCTGCCAGTCAGAGTAGTTGTAAGCTGTAGGGATTTCCTCTATCTAGTCCACTTCTTAATGCTCTGGTTAGACCGAAGGTGTCTGCAACTTCAATTAGTTGATAGGTGACTGAGCTTCAAGACATTAAAGCTACCTTTAAGCTTTTAAAACTTAATTCTTGTAATAAATTTTATAAGGGTTAATGAAGATATATATGCTAGGATATGTATCAAGAGAATGGATATCTGAGAATTATTGATTTAAAGAACTCGATAAGGCAATTGGAATGCAATATTCGTCAACAAAAATTAATGTTGCATCGTATTTCAGAAGCACATCGAATATAACAATTTAAACAACATTCAACATCGACATAAAATCATATTACATTTAAATTACAATTTGATAAAATGATTACGAATATTAAATTTTCGAAATCATGCAATTATTACAATTAAAATATCGTGGACGTGACTTTCCGTACGGTGAAGTTATAATTTAATTGAAAACATCCGCAATTTTGTCCGGACCGTGTTAGCGGGCAAAACATGTGAATCAATTAACATAGACAACGCATTAATCAATTAATTAAATAAAGCCTTTATGAGTACGAGTGTTTGGTTTGATTTAATTTTTGCGCATGTCCGCTTGTTATTACGTGTACAATTTGTATTGTAAATTGATTTAAAATTCGTATTTAATATTTTACTATTTATTTATTGTATTAACTATACTTTTGTAAACATGATTAAGAATACTTTAATAGTACAGTTTTTAAGTGAGTTTGTTTCACTAAAATGTTTGTTTCACTTTCTTCTTTAATGCTATTTAGAAAAAATCTTTAAGTTACGTTATTAGGCACTAGCTTCCGCCCACGACTCTGTCAGCGTGGATTAATAAAAACAAAAGAAAGTAGCCTATGTGTTCTGCCAGACTATACTACATCTATGCCAAATTTCATCGAGATTCGTTGAGCCGTGTAGGCTACAAACATCGATCCATCCACACTTTCACATTTAAAAAATTAGTTTGATTATTTTAGACACGTTAATATGCTATAAAAATAACTTTTTAAAACTCTAATATATTAAAAGAAATGGTTTCAAGTTTTATAAAAGGTCTTATAATTTATGTTACTCTAATAGTAACCGTTGGAAGTTTAAGGCGAGGAGTTAAATTACGACGTCTACGCGCCGACTGGAATACATGAATATTAAAAGCTTCTAATAGCCTATAAATGTCGATAGATGGAGTTACGGGAATTAATACTTTAATGATATTTTACTACGGTGACATTGTACAAAAAGGATTTTGAACTTCTGGTATCTATACTCCTATACTATTATAATAAAGCGTAAATACACACTTCTTTGTTGCCTAAGATGTCAGTAATTGTTGCATATTTTTGAATAATTCTTTTTTTAATAAAAAGCCCTACTTGCGTCATGCTTTAGGCTATATATTTTCAAGCTGTTAAACTTAGGGGTAAATATTTTGGATAAAAACCCTAATGTGGGAAAGAGACCATAAGTTGCTGCCAACATCAAGGAAGTAAAGTTGCCATTATGTCATGTCATTTTGACAATTGCAATTGACAATTTGACAAATGTAAACAATTAAATAAAATTTTCATAATTACATGCGGATGAAGTCGCACGGGAACAGATAGTATTTAATACGACCAAAAACATGCCTTTAAAGATGTTTCTATCTATCAATCTGTGTAAATTCATGGTTCTTTCATAACTGGTCGTCTAACAACTAGACTATCGGGTCTTTTCATTACAATAATACCAGAGGATCCTCTAAATCAAATTACTTTGTGCAAAAATTGTTCTTGTACCTTCAAAAGGAATGTATTTACATATTTCGTTTCATCTTCTAACTTTAATTTTATTATTATGGAATTACTTTCCGAAATGATTATTTCGGCTTTTATTTTACGTAGTCACGTTTATTTACTTTGACTTTTAAGAGACAGGACCTGTCAAGCGCACTTGTTGCGCTCTGATATATAAAAGCTAAAAGTAATTCGTCACTTGCTTGTGTGTTCATTTTCTTTGAATCAGAATTCGTATCAAAATATGGTGGAATTAATTTATTACAACGATCGCGGCGGCTTTTCGCATAGTCCGTTTTTCTATAGTCAAAATTGAGAAAGCCACAACTTACCTTGAGTGCTTTAATTAAGCTTATCTTTTCCTTGTAATATCATAAGCTTATTTTTATTATAAGAAAACAACAAAAGATTATTAAATGAAACTTAATTAAAAACCGACAATAGAAATAAAATGTAATTTTGAATAAGATTTTGATAAAACTTAACTTTACAAGGGAGTTAGTTTTATATTTCATATACTATTTACTGAAAACAAATGCTTCAAATGTCTGATACAGCAATAATGGTCGTTTGGTAAAATGTTTACTCGAAAGCGACAAAGCCGACTGCCGGCTAACTAGGCCTTTGAGCTGTTAAACTAACATTTGTTTCCAAGAAATTTCTGCACGAAACGATTGTTGTATCTAAATTCTACAACAAGAGGATGTTAAATAAATTTTAGTTTAATTTTTTATAAATTGTACAGTGGCAAATGAGTAAGCGGCCATCTTGATTCGCAAAGCAAAGCGATCGCTGTCTATAAATAGTAATTGTAGTTTTCCGAAAGAACTAAATAATTGTCCAATAACATATTTTTTACTGTTATTGTCAACTAGATTTCGCCCGCGACTCAGTCCGCGTGGAATAAAAAAAAAACAAAAGTAATTAGCCTATGTGTTCTTCCGAACTATGTTCTACATCTATGCCAAAATTCATATATATCCGTTCAGCAGTTTAGGCTACAAACTCAAACAAACTTCCATCCATCTAAACTTTGGCATTTATAATATTAGTATGATTAAAAAGAAATAACACTCTTTGTGTTGTCTTTAGTACAGTAGGAATTGCAAAAGTACGAGCAAATTGGACGCTGAATTTGTCTTCGAATAACAAATGTTCTTAAACTATACCCTCCCTTAAATAAAAATTCCCTAGGCGATAATATTTCGAGCGCGCGCACACCTTAAGCTAAACTTTCGCACGACTAATTAATCGCGATTTTATTCCTATATGCTATATGGAGATACGCACACTACTCGATTTTTAGTTGTGCAATTAGACAATTGAATTGGCTGCGAAACAATCGACAAGCGCACAACAGTTCTGCGATAGTTTAATCAAATCCGCTGTTAAAGTGATAACAGATTGTTCCTTTTTATTTGGATTTTAAAACGTTATTACTGTAAAGACTAACAAATTGATTGCGTTGCTATTGTCAAACGCGTTGCGAAGTGTGGTTAGGAAACCTTGGTACGCAAGTCTATGAAATCACTATTGTTATCAATAATTAAATAACATTGAAATGCTACCGTGAGATTGGTAAATCACTGTGAGAAATTCTACTGTTTACAATGATGAAAATGAAATGCTAGAAAGTGAAAATATGCATCCAGATCTCCGTAAAAGAAATAGATTTTCACAAGCTCTCAACTTGTGAAACTATCCTAAGAAATACAAAGAAATTTCTGAGTTAATTTGACTTCAGGCGACCGACTATCTATTTAACTACAGTTGGTAAAAGCAAAGGTTTGGTATATAAGTTTACTACGACATAGAATTTTCAATCAAATTGTAAAATACTTTAACAATTGTTATGCGTACATTCAATGCATTTCCAACGGTTTGTAAACAATGACTCAGCTATACAAACTGTCTTTAACGGTAAACGCAGCGTAAGCACTTGTTTACAATTGAACGTCGGGTAATTTAATAGGTGGTTTACCAGTGTAAACACGATTAAAAAGGTACCGTCATTTCATTTAAAATTACAAACACATTAATTTGAAGTACTAAGAATCATGTCTTATCTAAATCTATTTCAATCTTTAGTTTATAGAGTCGACGCCAGTCAATTTTTAATTAAAATTCGTATAATTATACTTGAATTTCTTTTGACAAAGCTAATCAGCCAGTTACTACGAGTTGTTTCTGATTATAAACTACTTTGATCAGCGCCATCTATCGCCAATTACCCTGAAACACTCACCCTCTGCGTGGCGTAGCACGGGGGGTCGAGCGCGCCCCCGGGCCGAAACATCGCCGCGCTGACTGCTGCCATCTGCCGGCTACCTCACTTTGCCCTTCCACCGAGACATCGCTCTGTAACAAAGCAAAAATAACATTCAACAATAAGCTTTCGTCTTATAGTTTTAAGGTCGATATTTACTAACGAACGTAGTTTCTTGTTGCGTATGATTCAACTGTGATGTCAGATCTTAAAAGCTGTATAGCCAATTGATATAAATAAATATGTATAACTGTGTACTAGAATGGACTATAGACGAATGAAGACTGACAAAGAAACCTCTTGATCTTAACGAAGATCCAGATGTTTGGATAGTCAGAACGAAAACCGACCCCAAAATAACGGTAAAATTAGGCATGTAGGTACTCAAGTGGACTATAGAGTTCTATGCAAAGATAATAATTATTTTTTTATTCACTGCCGAGTTGTAGCGTATATTTTCCCATTACGAGTAGCAGGTAAGCATTGTGCAACGCATCCGCACAGTAGTTGCAGTTTGCCGGTGCACTCGGTGTCAATGACCTACCATAGAGCCGCGGCTTCCCACACGGCTCGTGTTAATGACTGCACAAGTACGTACGCAAAGATACTCTACGTATCCGGATTGTTTGTTAAAAACAAAAGACACTATTAGGTATAAAGAATTAAATTCACTTCCCACTTCGATTATCGTACTTACTGTAACCATAAGGGCGATGATTGAGCGCATTTGTATATTACTTTGGTAAATCTTAGACCTTATTGCATTTTTATAGTCAAGTTACTGTATATCTCTTTTGTAGCTGCAAACTTACTCTTGATCTTGTGAAGCTTAAATTTGAAACAAATTATATTTTAAACGTAGTAAATTTTTAAATCTAATAATTAACGAAATGATTTATGATCAAATAATTAAATATCCTAAACCAATTAAAGATACGCATAGCAGAAATGAAAATATATTTTCAAATTAACATTCATATCTTTACAAAGTGGTCTGCAAATATAAATGAATTATCCTAAAGGTCATATAAATATGCAACTATAAAAAACCTTGTGATCTACCAATTATAGTATTACAATAATAGTTAAAACAAGCTCGCCTCGAATTTCTACAATAACCGAGTCAGTATTCAGGAAGAACACATCAACGATTAATCTTATATCTAGTATGATTTGAAATAAATTTAAAAAACTAGCTATTGCTCGAGACTTCACTTACGTGAAATCTATACTATTATAATTATTTTTCACACACTTCTTTGTTGCCTAAGATGTCAGCAATTACAGCATATTTATGAATAATCTTTTTGTAATAAAAAGTCCTACACTTACGGCACGCTTTAGGCTATATATTTTCAGTCCAATAAACATAGGGGTATACATTTTGGATAAAACCCTAATGTGGGAAAGAGACTATAAGTTATTGCCAACATCAAGGAATCAAGATTGCCAACGTTTGTGTCACGTGATTTTGACATTTGTTATTGATAATTTGGTAAATGGAAACAATAAAACATTTTTTCATAATTTCATGCGGATGAAGCCGCACGGGGACAGCTAGTTATAAAATAAAATAAAACACAGTCTATGCTATTCTGCCTTAAAGTAAATTTTTAATGGTGAAAGAATCTCTGAAAACGGCTCAGTAGTTTTAGAGTTATTACGTAGAGTTATACATACAAAAATCCTAAAATACAAATCTTTCCTCTTTATAATACTAGTGTAGATAACAGAAATATTTTTGCATTTTCTACTTTGTTGAGGAAAATAGCAGTGAATGTTTTTAATTAAATTCTAACCGTTTAAAGGAATAAATAAACTAAACACTGCACAATTTCAATTAATCTCTACATAAAGTAAAGTAGGATTTTAATTGAGAAAAAATATACAAATTGTTGAAAATCTAATCAAAATGGCTTAACTTCATTTTAGTTAAATATTTCTTTGAAGCACTTTCTTCTTGGCGATTAGGTGTGGGTTGTCTGCAACTAGGAGTATTTCTCAATAGTATATTACCATCATTGTATAAGAAATAGATAAAGGAATGAAGACGTATTTCTCTTTACGTTAATATACAAAACATAGATGTGCAAGGACATTGAATAAATTTTAATATATCATCTCATTAAGAGCACGCGCGCACCTTTGATTAAACTACGCACTATTTAACGCGCTTTTATTCCTATGTGCTTATATTAAGGTGTTCGCACTATTCAATTTTAGTTGTGCAACTAAACAGTTGAATGGATTGCGAAACAATCGACAATCGCACAACAATTGTTCGATAGTTTTGTCAAACGGCGCTCGCTCTTAGTAAATAATTTACAAGTGTATAAAATAACTACATCTTGTATGCGGATTCCCTATTACAAATGTTTTGTTTTTACATCTTAACTTAAAAATGCAATTTACGGAAAATGGTTTCTGAATACTTAAAATTAAAAAAAAACACTAAAAATGCCTTAACTACGTCAAAATTGATTGCATTTTAGTAATGTCATTGTCAATTTACATATAAACATTTTAATACAATATTTCTTTACCTTGAAATATGGAACGTTGTATAACGTGTAATTATGATCACCAGTTGATTCGTTTTTATTAAGCATACCCTATACAGTAGATTCTCTGTGACATGAACAATTTAATTAAATTCTAATATCGGGTACACAATTTGGGGCAGTGTACAGCGGGTAAAAGCCGCAATCAATGACTGCGGTATGCTTGCGATGCGCGTCGTAAATTGTGTACACAGGCTTACAAAGACTTAGTAATTTTTAATTACATTCATAAAACAATTCTTGTGATCGAATTACGATGGTTAAGTTGTAGAAATAGCAGTCATGTGAGCAGAGAACTGTTTTGAGGTACTAAAAGCCTATACACGGAACACAAAATAATTCAGTATCTGGTTCAATCTGTCGCCATACACGAACCTTAATTTACAGACACCGTTAAAATTGAGTCGTTTATACTAAATCAACTCTACACTTAGTAACAATACTTACTAAATAAGAACCTAAGCATATTTATTTATTAAGACCATAAAAAATCACATGATCACAAAGTCCTTTTCTATTCTAGGTCCTAGGTCCTAGGTCCTAGGTCCTTCTAGGTCTTGTATATGTTAATCTTACTAATATTATAAATGCGAAAGTTTAGATGGATGGTTGTTTGTTAGAGTTTGTAGCATAAACTGCTGAACGGATTTTGATGAGATTTCGCAAAGATGCAGAGGATCTGGAAGAGTGCATATAATGCTTACTTTTGTTTTTAATTCCACGCAGACAGCGTCGCAGGCGAAAGCTAGTTATCTAATAAATCAATTGTAATATCATAACATTCATTGTCTCGATATCAGACATCCGTAGCATCGGTAACCGCTTTTCACTTCACGAATGATTTACCACGACCGCAACACGTCTACTTTCCCACGGTTGTATTCACATTGTTACTAATCATAATGATATTTAAAATACTAAGGGCCTGTCCCACTAAATTGTAAATTGTCTGATAACAATCCAACGTGTAAACTATGTGATGGAAATATTGGATTTGTTACCTATCTGACAGTGACGACAGCTTAAAAATGTAAGCTATTTGAGCTTACTATATCAGCCAGCAGTGGGACAAGCCCTGAATCTGCTATCTTAAATGTTCAGGTCTAGTTAATATCTATTGTACAAAATAATTAACTTTTAAGGGAGTTTAAACACGAATGCACTAAACAACTGACTATAGATAGAAAAATAATTTCTCTATCTTTTCCCACTCTTCGTGTTTATTTATTACGGCATGTTGCCAACCTGCAGACAACCCTACTTGAGGAAATAGAATACGATTGAATGTTTTTTTTAAGAAATAAATACTTTAATGTTTCTAAACATCATTCATTCATCAATGTATAGAAATCGAAGAATTTACTTATGTAAACCGTGTCGGACCTATAGGGCCGTAATATATCACGTACCGGAACCTATACGTATAGACAATTTACACTAAAAACTGCATTAACAGTCACCGTACATCAAGTACCACTTTCTACGGGAGAAACGCGCCTACATGTTAATGCCGCCTTTGAGTTGTAGACACATATGGCTATTAGGCAATATTGGTCGCGACGGCCGCGATTGCTGTGCCCCACTCGGCAAACAGCGCTATAAAACAGGGCTGCTCAAAGCGAGGTTCGTGGTTACATTTGTTTAATGCGACCCACAAAATATTGTACTAATGTTTTACTTTATGTAAATGTAAATTGTTGAATTTACATGAAGTCTTAAAATATGCTTACAACGGTTATTACTGTCGTGGACAAAAATGTTTACCAATAATATAAAATGAAAAAAAAAATTGTATGTATTGAAATAACTCAAAAACTGTTGGATCTGTTTCAAAAATTCTTTTACCATTAAAAAGCTACGTTATCAGTGAGTAATATAGGCTGTGCTTTTTATTTATTTTTTAATTTTACATGGGTGTAATGTTATTTTAACAATGGTATTTACTTGTGATTTTCTATACATTAAATGTATTACGTATTGTTTTCTTGACAACATTTCCTGACAGTAACCAGTTAGAAAAGTGAAGTCGGCTTATTGGCCCATTAAGTTTTTTCTATGACAATAAAAATCCAAGATGCCAGTTGGATAGACAGCTAAGACAAAAACGGACTTCAAGAATAAGAAATCTTGTTTACAGTTGCGTGCACATACAATAAATAACGATTATAAACGGTATTACAAAGGGATAGGGTTTATATTCAATTATCAGAATTTGTCATCATACCAAGCCTGTCTATCGAAGACGAGCATAACATCAATCATTATTTCAATCTTTAACGCAATTACTTAGATACTAAGTAAGCATACATCTTAGATTCCTACAATACTTACGAAATACCTAAGTGAGTTATGCAAGTTCCTAGATAAGCAAATTACATAACTAACTCTGGTTCTGAGCGATCTTTGTTTCTTTCCTAAAGTGTGACAACCACTAAACCTTATTTTTATCTTATGAAAAAAAAAAATTAGTAAAGTAATAAAATTGTATTAATTATCCAAGCTGTTATTAGTTCAACAGGAGGAATTTTTCC